AGCTGAAGGGACTCATATTACTGAAAACGTGTGGGTTTTTAAAATAGCATATGGACAATCAGTAAAAACACTGGCCACCATTCAGAGTTTTATAATACTGAACTCAATGGTCAGCAGTCCCAAATATTTGCCAAGGTAACTATTTGTAAAGCCTTTTGCTGCCCTCTTGTGGCTGTCTCCAAAACTACATTGGTGAATAAAACGGACAAAGAAAAACCAATAAAGATCATATTATATGAGTATATGACTTTCTCTTTGCTGATCATTGCTTCAAGGGACAGTCACTTTTATTTAATACAGAATTGACTGATCTGTTTTTCTTGCATTCCACAGTACCCTTAGTAATTGACTCCAGATCCATAATTTGAAGGCATACATATTTCTCTTTCAATATCCAGCTTCCACAGTGGCACATTATTATTTTGTTGTCACAAAAATACCTTTAATTTCATGATCTTGTCTAAGTCTGTCATTGTATCTTTCCTAGAATTAATCTCTTTTTTACTTCTCCAGAATACCACCCATCTTTATTTTTGACCTCAAGAAAACAAAACCATCTACCACTTTTACTTCTACACTGTCCACTCTGAATATGCTCTTTGCCATTATTTTTATCTTCTGAAAATATAATATTAACCTGCTTTTTCATTTTCTATGTTTACTTTCAAAATTATCTTTTTATTTTTGGCTAAAAGGGGAATCAAATCTTTATTACAGTCATAGGCCAGCATAAAGAGGGTGGAGTACAATTATAAAGCATAGAAGATACATCAGAGTCTAAAAATAAAAATTATGAAAAGCTAGGGGAGTTGTCTCAAATTATTATTTTTGTGGGCCTATTTTGATTCTAGCTTCCATTCTATATTTGCTGTACAAGTTGAACAGATAAGGGAACAATATACAACATTCTTGTCTCCTTCCTATTTTGAACCACTCTGTTTCTCCAAATTCAGTTCTTACAGAAACTTTTTCTTTGCTGTATTTACTATAAAGCTTACTCAGAAAAATAATCAGGTAAATTGATACTCCTATTAGCTCTAGTATATTCTACCTTCTGGCATGATCTACATAATAAAAAACATTGCAGTAAGAGTAAACTACCTTACAGTCTGTTGCTCTCTCAATTATCCATTTTATGTTATCTACCTGATCTTTTGTCCTTCTGTATTTTCTAAAATGTATCTGTTCACCCTAAACAAAACTTTGCTTATATGCAGGATTAGTACAATGGTTTGTTAATTTGCACACACTTGCATTCCTCTTCTACCAGTATTTTTCAAGAGTTTTTTCTATGTTATTGTGGAGATGTTAGCATTTTAACTACCTCTTCTGCAGTTTTAATCAGTTCAATGGGGACATTTATCCGTACTTCACGCTTTCATATTAATAGCTAATAAGGTTACTCTCTCCCAACTTTGGTTTTTCAATTCCTTGTTTCATGTGGTTTGGGAAAGTGAACTGGTAGCACAATTGAGAATTATGGATGGATGGACAGAGTTTTCCAAACTGGGCATCCATCTAATGTGTGGACTTCAACATTAGAATTCTCCAGCCAGCATGGCTACTGATAAGTATTCTGGGAGGTGCCAAGGTTGTATCAGTTTCAAGGCGGCTATTTCTCCCAGACAGAGACTGAGCCTTTAACAACCACCTGATGCAATGGTATGTGGGAATGGCTTTGAGAGACAGGGAGAAGAGATGCAGCCAAGGGAATGGTCAGATAAAAAGCAACTTAGCCTGCACCAGGAATGCAGGCAAGTCAAGTGGCTCAGAAGGGACCCTCCCTAGTTTCTTGGGTTGCAAAGGGGACGGGGAGAGAAATGTACTTTTAGACTTGCAAAGTTCTGTTACCAATAGAAGAGAATATGTGTAGCTCAGGCTTGAACTGTGGAGTCCTTGGTGCTCTCTGAGCTTGGTTGTTTGATTGCAGATGTTTCATTA